TATTGCCATGCCAGACAGGTGCTTTAAAACACAGATTAAACCTCCAAGTCATGGTCTAGGCATAGGATAGAATTTGGAGTCATGGTAAGCCTTCAACAGCAAAGTAAAACTGTGTTTTATGATCTTACTCCTTACAGACCCCAGCAACCTGAAAATGCTTTGCAACTTAAACAGCTTCCTTATCTTTTTCTTCTCCATCAGTAGAAACAGAGAAGGAAGTGACTCACTGCTAACTCAACACCCAAGTACCCCTTAGTAGCTATAAGCCTATGAACCAGGTGACAACTCTGCTCTAACAGATTACTTGCTACTCTTTTTTCAACTGTTTCTCAAACCATGGTCAAAAAAATATGTCAGTGACAGGATTTCACCATTTTACTCAAACCTGTGCCAAGGAAGGTGTAATTTTTCAGGGAGAGTAATTACCTGAAATTTTAAAATGAGAAAGAGCCAAGGCAAACTGCATTCATGAAGGTCAACAAAGCTCTGATGCTTGTTTGCAGGTGCTTGTCCATAACTTGCTCCCCTAAGGGCTACAGATCTTAGTTACAGCAAATCTCTCCAAATGGGGGTTCTTGTGAGTCAGAGGTGAGCCAAAATGATTCTGCTTCCTACCTGTCAATCATCCTGGGATTACTAAAACCAGCAGGTTCATGTTTGACACCAAAATAAACAGCAACTGGACAAGGTGGGTACTTCTGCTTTTGTAAATCGCCTCATTTATTCAGGCACCTGATCCCAAGACCCAGGTAGGGAAGTCTGAAGGTTTTTCCTTAGACCTTTACTTTCATTCTGCCACCACTTCTAAACTTGCAACAGAAACATATACATACTTCTATACAATGACTGAAATCCTGTAGTTTCATTCGTGTTGCCTTCTGTCAGAAATCCTTCCACAAGACAGCAGTGAGATTCCTCAGGTCAAGGACTCTAGTTTGTGACGCACATCTTAACACAGCACAAACAGGGTCTAGGGCCTGGCATTGGTACTACAAAACATAATAATAATAGCAGCTTAAGTAAAAACAATCAAAGATGAAAACCAATAAACCATCCTCTGCTCCCCTTAAGAAAATGTGTTTATTCACCCCCTCACAAAGGAGGTTGCCCTATTTATCTGCCGGGAACCTCAGACATTCCTTGCATGTGCAGCACAGATGGTCGCCGCACAACAAAAGGGAGAAGGGCTCCCTGCACAGTCACAGTGCACGTGTCTGGTTTCTGGATACACAGAAACTTGGTCAGTGCTACTGCTCCAGCAGGGATGCTGTGCATCAGAAATCCCAAACAAATATAGAATGCCATGAATATCCTTTGAACAACATCTCCTAGTGGAAAAAGCGACTGCCTGGGAAAAAGGAGATGCACAGCAGTGACCTTGGTTGCAAGACTTAATTCATCAGTGCACATAAATAGTTTTGAGATCCCAAGGTGGGAAGCGCTAAGGAAGCAGAAGTATTATTTATTAAAGCTCCTTTATCCTCAGATATTCTTCACATCTGATTTTTCATTCATGGCCATTGCTACTTCAAATATTTTTCAGCTGTCTTGATCTTTTCTTTACCAAATGGGATTGCCCCAGGCAGAGGACATGCAGTATACAGATCCGCTCATTGCATTTATTTGTCTTGCTCTTTTCTAATTAATTTACTGCTTTGACCCCAGTCCTGCTCTCCCTTTGATTTTATAATCAGATATCAAATGTGGCTGCTCTCCATGAATAGCAATCATTTTGCAAACAAATGCCATTAATATTTTTACTACTTTGTTACACACACACTTCTACAGTGTATGGGAAGAGGACTGCAAGGTCCATTTTAGCAAACTGGGTATTAATATCCTTGCTAATTCTCCTGTGAATGGAAAGGCACAGCAGTTTGGCAGTAACCATTTCAGTTCCCAAGGCAGACAATACAAGATATAATTAAGGAACAAACCTGGGGGAACTGAATGAAACAAAGAAGAGCAGAAAATTAATTTGGCAACACGTTATGTTCTGTGACAAACTGTGTACAAGTTTCTGTCCTCTTTTAAGACATCACCGAGTGCAGAACTATATTCTATGCAGTACATGAAAAAAAATAAATCACTGAACATGATAACTTTCAAGTATTTAAAATACATGCCTTTTTTTTTCTTCATACAACACAGAATACAAATCTCTCTGCTTTTTCCTCAGCTTAGTAAAAGCATAAATAAACCAGGAAATTAAAGACAAAAAAAGAGAGAGAGAAAGCTACCTTTTCCGCATCCCGTCTTGCCTAAATAGAACACGTTGTACCAGCCTGGACGACTTCTCAATAAAACATACTGTGGACACTTCAAAAGCTGACCATAATCATGAGAGTTAAGTGTGGAATGTCAGCTTGGTTGGGGGATTGCACTGCTGTTGTTACACATTACTTAAGCATGCAGGTTTGTGGTTTTTACTTTATCTTGGATTTTGCTGTAATCTAATTGAACTCTGTTACCTCTTTCAGTATCCTAAGTGTCCGTCTAAGTGCTTGTAAGGATTTGGGCTTAAGGATATTGTAACGGATCCAGAGGCTATTGAAGTCAGTGCAGAAGCCTCTGTAGAATTAGCCCTCTGATGAGGAAACTCTTTTATCCTCTCCCTTCTTAATACACCTGGGGTCAAGCTTCAGACATGTTCACAAATAAGATGGCCGCTATGAATCCAGAGGCAAAACCCATGCTTACTTCAGCAAAACCAGGCTTTACAGAAGAGCATATCTGATTGTAGTGGGATCATTTACACTGTATGAATTACATGCGTTAAATTCACAGCATTTACAGGATTATGTCTTTAACAGTGATTCTGGGTTTGGGGTGCCCTGCCCGTGTCCATCCCCCCTATTTGCACCTCCGACATTTCCACCGAGGCATGGTTTATTTCCCTCAGTTACCTCATCACACCCAAGTCTTCATAGGGATACTACCGAAAGCAAGTCATACTGTCTGCAGTGGGATGCTTGAACTCCTCAGGCAGTGGTATCTCCATGTAACCATACATGATAAACAAACAGTCAACAAACACACTTCTGTAGATTTTACTGCCTCTGGAGCAGACTGGATTTCTATAAAACCCATGGGTTTAGGCTTCATGTGTCAAGGTCTGCTTCAAATACACCCAGTTTACAGCCACTGCTCTGACAGGAAAAAATCACCCTCACACCCCTTTCAAAACCAGATCCCTCACCCACTGCAGGCACACGTGTGCTGCTCAACCGAGTAACATCACCATTTCCTTGTACCTCTGCAACAGAGCACTGCCCGGCCTGCGGGAAAGGAGCCTGCATGCCACGGCCCTTTGAACCTGCCTCTGGGGGGGTGTGGGGAGAAGCACCTTGCTGTGGGGTGAGACCTCCTCAGGGGGGACACACACTGTGGGGTAACCCCTGTGGGGAGAGATTCTGAGGGGAGAGAGCTGCTGAGGGGAAACCCACCATGGGGTAATGTTGCTGAGGGGATAGAGCTGCTGAGGGGAAACCCGCCATGGGGTGGAGTTGCTGAGGGGAGAGACCTGCTGAGGGTAAACCCACCATGGGGTAGAGTTGCTGAGGGGATAAATATGCTGAGGGGAGAGACCTGATGAGGGGAAATCTGCCATGGGGTAGAGTACCTGAGGGGATAAACATGCTGAGGGGAAAGACCTGCTGAGGGGAAACCTGCCATGGGCAGACCTGCTGAAGGAAAATACCTGCTGAGGGAACAGACCCACAGAAGAGGTACCTACCATGGGGTAGAGTTGCCATGGGGAGAGCTGCTGAAGGAAGATACTGAGGGGACAGACCCACTGAGGGAATACCCGTCATGGTGGAACAACTGAGGGGAGAGATCCACTGAGGGTCTGTCACTGGTGGGAGAGATCCACTGAGGCTCTGTCACTGATGGAAGAGACCCACTATGCGGATACGCGGCTGGGAAGACCCGCTGAGGGCGGCACAACTGACATCTCAGCTCCCAACGCTGATGCTCCCCGGAGGAGCTGCTCCTGCCCCAGGCACCTCCATCAGCAGAGCGGGCTGGTGGCTTGGGGGGTTTGTCCGTGGTTCACTCTCGCCCATGGCGGGGCACCACCATCCTTTAGAGACATGAAATCCCAGCCTGACTCCGCAGCTTACCGGGGCCCCCGCAGCTCCCCGCCGGCGGCACGGAACGAACCCAGCTCCCGGGGCCGGAGCGGGGCCGTGCCGCGAGCAGCAGCGCCGCCTGGCGGGCAGGGCGGCCCCGGCGGGGCTGGTGGGGGGGTCCGGTCCCTCCGCTCCCGTCTGTGTTTGTGTGTCCCCCCCGCCCGTCTCCCGGAGCCTGACTCCGTCTGTCTGCAGCGCGGCCGGCAGCTGCCGTTGCAGATACGGTGTCGGCGGGCAGGGAAGAGCGCGGAAACACCTGTTTCCAGCATGGGGAAGGTGGGGAGGGAGCCCCCGGGCAGCCCCGCCGCCTGTAAATCCGGCGCAGAGCCCGCGGGACCGCTTTCCAGACAGACCGCTTGCGGCTTTACACGTTCCTCTAAACACGCGTCCCGAGCCCGCTCCTCACGTGTTGGGGTTTCCACCGTGCCCGTTTGAGGTTGGGGACACACACACAGACACACAGGGGCAGACCATCCCCGCTCCGTGCCGGGGCTACGGGGATCCGGGGGTCTCCCCCGCGGGGAGATGCGGGAGAGGCCGGGGGGCTGCCGGCGGTGCTGGGCCGGGTGCGTGCGGGGGCTCCATGATTTCATCGGCGGCTTCGCGGGGAGCTGCCAAGAGCTGTTCTGCCTCACTGCGATGTGTAGCTTTTTCCTGCCATTTTTTTAATAATAAAAGAGGGAGTGAAGCCGGGTGGGAATTTTAATCTTTCCAAAAGAAAAAGAAAAAGGGGAAAAAAAAAAAAAAAAGGGCAAATGGATCTGAGAAGAAGGAAGAAAAAAACCAACCAACCAACCCAGCAATAGCCGAAGGGGATGCCAGTGAGGTGTGGCTTGCATTTAAATATCCAATATGTCAATGTAAGGGGAGTGTGTACGTATATAAAGTGCAGTTTGCATCCGCCGCGGGACACATCCAGCTATGGGAGGCGCGGGCAGCGCGGGGCCGGGCCGGGGCCGGCAGCGCGGGGCCGGGCGGCCGCAGCCCGCGCTCTGAGCGGCCTCTCCGCTCAGCCGCCCACCCCCTCCCCACCCCGCGCCCGCGGCCCCATGGCCGAGGTTGGCGGCTTCCTGGGCGCGCTGGACCCCGACCTGCACGGCTTCCCCCCCGCGCTGGGCGCCGCGCTGCCCCTCGCCGACTCCCCCGGCTTCCTCAACGAGCGCCTGGGGCAGATCGAGGGGCGGCTGCAGCGGGGCTCCCCCACCGACTTCGCTCACCTCAAGGGCATCCTGCGGCGGCGGCAGCTCTACTGCCGCACCGGCTTCCACCTGGAGATCTTCCCCAACGGCACGGTGCAGGGCACCCGGCAGGACCACAGCCGCTTCGGTAAGGGAAGGGAAGGGAAGGGAACGGAACGGAGTGGGGGTGCCCGGCCGGGCCGGGAGCAGGTGCCCCGCGAACACAGCTAATTACCCCGCTAATATAAATCATCCCGGGACAGATATAATTAGACTCCTAAACAAATGCGCTCACTCCCCGGCAATGCGGGAGTTTTTATTTCCAATTTCCTACTCTCCCGGCGCTCAGCCCTTCTGCAGGTGCACATAAACGTGCCTTAGCAGGGGGAAACGGGAAAGAAAAGTTGGGGGGGGAGGATCAGCTCTAGCCGTGCCTCTGAAGTTAGTGGTGAGGGAGGCAAAGGAAAGGGGAGAGCACGCTGGAAAAGGAAATCCCTAGCTTTTAAGAATTATTATGATGGTTTTCCTCTTTTTTTTCTTGGTCTCTGCAAATACCTGTGAGCTGATTTCTTCTACTTGCAATGAGTTTCATTAGAAGAGCGTCTCCCCAAAGTGGGCAGGGAGCAGTTGGCTGGATGGGTGTCAGAAGCTTGGTTCAGGGAGGTCGTTGGAAAGGGAATGGGGAAGCTGGAGAGGCAAAATCGCTCAGGGGACCCCTGAGAGAAAGGGGAAGATGGAATAACAGGCAGAGCGCCCTGGATTTACCTTGCTGCCTGGGGTACAGCTGGAAGGCGGCAGCGCCTGTATCAGTGTCACACGAGAGCTGGGATCTCTAATGAGACTGTATGTAAGCTTCAAAAAATGCATCCCAAGCCGCAGGCGAAGGAGTACAGTGAGCTTGAGCACAGCTAAGAAAAATTCCCGCTACTTCAGCATCTAGCGCAGGTGTCTGCGTAAGCTATCAGCGAGTCCCATGCCAGTGACCTCAGCTCTGTTGTCAGCAGGTTGCAAGAAGTGCTCGCAAGAGTTTTTATGGCTTTCAGGTGATTTAACTCCTCGGTGGAAGGAATTCAAGGGGGGGGGGGTGCCTTTACTTGTTTGCAACCGGTCTTTTCCGATACTCCAGGAACGCTGCTGCAGTGGTGGTGGTGGTGGTGTAAGGCAGGGTTTGGAACAATTGGAGCAGCTTATCTCCGTAGGGCGCTTTCCATAAACACCAGGTGTGTGCATGGCATGTCCCTGCCTAAATCAACAAGAAAGTCATAACCCGCGGGTCGGAGGCAGATACCCATAGGCTCAAGGGGCACATGTTCTGTAATTACCTCCCCAAAGACACACACGTTTAACCTTTCGTGCTACAATCCGTGATGAGTCTCCATGTTAAAAGAAACTGAAAGCAAACCCATTGCATCTGCTTGGGCTTAGTTCAATCTGCCACGTAGGATTTCTATCAGCTCTTTTTATATATTAAGTAAGCAGCCAGTTTCAAGTGGGAGCATTTATCTCAGTTCCATCTTTTTATAAAGATTGGGTAAAATAAGTGTGTTTTCAAGAAAACTTGGGGAAAACACACTGAACAGGCTAAAACCTTTCATGAATTTTGCATGCTTCAGCTTAAGTCACACAGTGCATCCAATAAATCGAAGCCTTGGCATTCCCTAAGTGCTTTAGCAGTCAGCATCCAGCTCCGTAAACTAGACCAGACTTCAGATATTATAGTTTTCTGCTTCAGGGTTTTCCCAGAGGCAGTGTAAAATAAATAGTTATTTGTTGTAATTGCAAGACAAAGCCCCAAGGGATTAGACTGGAATCCTCGTGTTCAGATCAAGTTGGACTGAACCTCGCTTCAGCAGAGACTCAAAGCAATAACGTATTGGCACAGAGCATTCACCATCTGCATTCAGTAGCCATGAATATTTAAATTCCAATGTTACTGGTATGGTTCATATTAGGATGTCATGTATCGATGCATTCCTAAATTTTGCATGCAGCAATCAGAAAGCAGTAACTCATTACAGAAACAGGCAGCCTGAGTGATTCTGGGGAGCTACACAACTCTGGTGAGGGATACAGAGCTAGACAAGGGCTTAAGGGCAGCAGTTTAAAGCTGTCTTAAATCTAGGAGCATCTGGGGAAATACTTCAATCCAGTATGGTGGGGTGGTGGATCAAGCCCCCATGGCTGGAAGGTGCTGCCTGATACCGTTAACGTGCCCCATGGATGGCTGTGACACTGCAGTGGAGGCACTTATCCAGCTGCAGATGGGATGTAAGATAGAACTGGACTTTGCATCTCTGTGTCTTAATACTAGAAGTGGTTCAGGAAGAGAAGGACAGTATCTGCACCCCTCCATGCGCAGCCAAATGCTACCAGATGTACAAGACATCCAGCTCTTCCAGAGCGGAAAACAAAGAGCTGAAGGCCTGGTGATGAAGAGCAGAGAAGCGAGGTCCTAACGGCGAGGGCTAAAAGGAGGAATTCTTCTGTACCACAGCATTCAGGGGATGTGACCGCAGGACAAACACTGCCTGAGCCACCACTGTAACTATTCCCTCTCATCTGTCAAGGGCTGGAGCGCTCCTAAATCACACCTGTCTTCTGGAACATGATATTTCATACTTGTAAAATCACAGCTTCATGCAAGAACAATGTGGCACAGCTTATTTTCACTAGAGGAGGCTTAACGCAGAGCTTGGTGAAGCCCTTCAGGACTATTGGAAGAAACCTTCTTCTCACACCAAAGTACCCAGGTTCATGATCTGAGCCACCAGCTCCACCTAACTCACCCCAGACAGAATAAAGTGGTTTCAAGAATGTATCTGTGCCCCCTGCATCTGCTAAGACCCCTCCTGTACAAAGAAATAAAGGACAGTGAAAATCTGGAGGGGGTTTGGACCGACATTAGTGCCCCGTGAGAATCCTTGGAATGAAACCAAGATAAATTCACCAGGAAACTCCATGCCAGGAGGAATTGCTCCTTCTCTGCCTCGTGCCTGTTTTACAGCAGTGTTAAACAAGTGACACCAATGGCTCTTTGAGAGAGAAAAGGCCTTGACTTTGTACCGCAGACTAATAAAGGCAGCCAACGAAGCTGCTCTTGGGTACAAACCTGCTAATGGATCTGCAATGCCAGCTCCTAGAGAAGCCAGTGAAACCTCCAGGGAGAGTTTTGCTGTCGATTTTGCCATTCAGCTCATGGTGCACCTGTTGCTGAACAGTTGTTCAGGTTTTTAGCCGAAGCTTTAGGTTTGCAGCCATTAATACAACATCTGATGTTTCTGTACCCGGCTCCTGAAGTCAGTCATGTAAGAAGAGACAGGTGCAAGGAGCTGAACTGTTCTTTGAGGGATGGTTTATAGTAAGGCGAGAGCGTGCAGGTCCCTGCAGAGCAAAGCTTGGGAGATTACTGAGGGCTTTTGGTGGTAAATGAATCCCGTCGGAGTCTTAATCAAAACTCTCCCAATAATTCTCTAGAAAGGCTCAAGGAGCAAACAGTGAAACTCAAATCAAGGAGAAAAGAAAGAGAAAAGGCAAGTCCGGGGGGGAGGGGGGCAGAAACAAGCCAAAAAGAGGCACATTCACTACAGTCACACACCGCTACAACCGGGAAGAGAATTCTTGAGCTGGCCCCAGTGACCACTCCCTGTGCTGCTGCAGATCAGATGTACGGAGCTGCAGCAGTTGGAGTGAGCTGAGGACAGGATGGATATCCGCCCACGTTTTTCCAGCCTTTACTCTGGCTCCTCACTTTTGTGGGTTTAAGCCACGTTCTCAACGCTGTTTCGACAGAGCTGTCTTCCCTGCACGTCTCCAAGTGCCACTCGGAGATCAGGAAAGGGGAGTATTGCAAGGGATGTTGTCAGAGGAGATGGGCATGGGCACACCTTGGAGAAGTTTCATTTGCAAATCCAGCATGTATTTACCCAAACTGCACCAGATGAGGGGTGTCACCCACCCGCCCTGGGAGGGGAGATGTTAATGCTGCTCCAGGTTGCTCCTTACCAGGTCTTTGGAGAACTGGGCTCATGAGTGTGCTTATGGGTATGCTCAAGCAAAGCTCTTTGTTTCCCTGCCTCAGACATCCCTTGGTTTCTAAATGAGACCAGCAGCATTCTCCTGCTTCCCTGGAGTGACAGAAGATAAGTAAGACACAAAAATGCTGGTGCTGACAACTGAGAACTGTACCTATAGGAAGGTCCATCTATTGTTCTCCAGTCACCAGATGTTTTTCACATGAACATCCACTTGTCTCCAGCCTGGGAAAGACTCCCCCGTTTCTGGGTATCCCAGTATTCCTTTACTCCCTGCACAACTTTTACACTCTCTAGTTGTTGTCAGTCTTGCTTCACTCCCTTTTCAAACAGTGGTTGTCATCTCTGTCCTGCAGATGGGAAAACGGAAGCACACAGCAGCTCAGTAACTCCCCTCATGTGCCAGAACCAGTGGGTAGCAGAGGCAGAACAAAATCCCTCATCCTGCACCTCTTCCCTCCCCATCTGTGGGCTTCTTCTCAGATAAGAAACCACAATAACTACCAGGGAGCAAGCAGAGCAGAGCCAGGGTCCTGGTCTGCCTGCTTGGCTTGAGAAGGCTGCTGTCCCTGCCTGCACCTCGTATTTCTGAAGGCAATGTGTCTCCAGGCATGTTTCAGCTGGGAAAATACCTGCATGAGTCCATAAAGCATGTCTTCTGCTGTTTGCTTCCCTGTTTGCCTCATGGAATTGCTGCTCCCAAGTCTATATTTCATCTCCCTTTGCCCCCATCACTCTGTGGCTGCACTAGGGCTGGATTTGATGTGCAAGAACCAGAGTAGGCAGGGCAGAAGGAGAATAAAGAGCCTGATACAGGGTAAGAAGACTAATTCTTGCAGCCAGCTTCTGACTGATGAGCATGCATTGAGCAAAGGGGGACAGAGGTGCCCATCACCATCTGGTCTGTCCTATATTTAGGTGGTGATGCAGTTACTGTCTGAGAGCTGTCGCACCCAGGCCTGGCCCAGCAGAAGACACATGCCTCAAGCCGAGGGGTGACTGGAGTCAGCCGGCTCAGGTGGCCGCTGTCACGCGGTGATTCTAGACTCAAGGCAGACTTTTAGGAGGAGGTAACCTGATCAGAGCAGCAATTGCTCAGGACCGGGCCTTTTGGGAGCTATATTAAGAGGCCTGGAGCCATGCTAAAGGTTAGAGCAAGTCTGCCCTCCTGGCAATGGCGACGTCTCGTCCAGCCATTACATGGGATGTTGAAAACCTTCTTCCTTTCCCTGCTGCTACTTCCCAGCTAGAGACTGCCCGTGACCTGTAGAGAGGGAGAGTGTGATACCCAAACACAGCCCCACCAATGCCTTCAGGAGGTTTTCCTGCGGAGCCTGAAGGTCTCCACCACTTGTGATGTTGGCTTTGTTCACAGCAGTTAACAGCTCAGACACACCTACTTAGGGGCTGTTTGGTTTTAAGTGCTTCACCAAGGGTTCTCCTGTTCCAAGTCCTCCCTCCATCAGAACAACTGCTGACCCTGCTGTCTTTGCCAGAGGAAATGAGGCTGCCCCTCATTGTTTGGAGCATGTGACAACATCGGTGTAGGCTGAAGCCCACAGAGCACAGATGCTGCTGGACCAGGCAGGGGCTGGCACGAGGCTCAGGGTGACGGAGGAAGGACCAGCAGCTCCGTGACACCACAGGCTGCAGAGGAAGATGCTTTTCTACCTACCTGTATTTGAAGCTGGATTTTATCCCTGTGGCTTATATACACATCTGGGGGTGGCAAGTACCCCACTGGAGTGCCAGGATGTAGGTGGCCCTCACAGACATCTCCTCTAGGGCTTTTTACTTCTTTTTGTTGAACTCATCACTTTAAAACACATGGGACTATCACCTCAAAACAGAAGCCCCTTGGTGACAAAAGTCACTCTCCTTTTAGTGAAGAGTAAACCCCAGCCTGGTAGCAGCCTTCTGAAATGTCTAGTGAGTTAGAGACTGAGTTTCTACATCTGTCTTCTTGGTGATAACTAGGGAAAACCAAGCCCCATGCGCCAAAACCAAGCCAACAAAACCTAGCAATCCTTTTCTTATTAGCAAAGGCAATTCCTCTTTGGGCAAGTCAAATGCTGGGGAGAAGCCCAGAGTCTGAAGATTGCACACATATGGGCTATAGCCTGTGTTGTTATTAATAAGGAAAACAGGGTCTGTAGGAAGCTCTGCAAGGGCTGGGAAAGGCTGGTTTGTCACGGGAGCCTGGCACTGGTTTTATTCTCTGTATGATCTGGTCTTCTTTTCCTGTTTCAGGGATTTTGGAGTTTATTAGCCTGGCAGTGGGGCTGGTGAGCATCCGTGGGGTGGACTCAGGACTCTACCTCGGCATGAATGAGAGAGGCGAGCTCTATGGGTCGGTAAGTGTACAGGGTTAAACAACATCCACAGCAATGGGGTTGTGGGCCCTCATCAGTGTCATGAGCTGTGTCTGTCACAGGCCTCCAAAGTCCTTGGGCTCCCGCATGCCTCCATCCTCCCCTGATACCACTGTTGTAACATAAATGATGTAAGTGCAATAGGGTTGTGGAGGGAGGATGCACACGTGCCTGGAGAGCTGGGGTGCTTGTCAAGGTTTTGCCTTTCAGAAACGGTGTGGGAACAGTCAACTAAAGGCAGGGGGGGAAATACAGCATAAAGCCAGGGGCTGCTGTGGGGCTTTCACTGCCTAATACATCAGTGTTGCACTCTGCATGGTCACGGTCTGCACCCATCTGCAGACGTTACACCCCTATTACAGCTCTTCAACTAATGGAAGCTGAGTTGAGGTCTTAACAGCTGGGCAGAGGTGCTTCCTACCGGTTAATTTAACTCAATTCCTAATTACATAACTCAATGTAAACCAGTTATTTCTACTTAGCTGGAAGAATCACTTCTATTTTGAATCATTAACTGCATTCTAGGTGGCCAGGTTGAAGTTTCCTTTTTGGAAGCTGCTGTGCTTCATTGGTGCTTTTTCTTCAGATGCCCCATTGCCTTTAATTCAACCCATCACCCATGTGTGATCTTTTAAATGCCTCTTCCTAGATCACAGCACTACCCTGTATGTGATGAGGATACTGATTTTTAAACATGGATCACAGTAAGTTTAAATAACAAAAGAAACCAGTTTTAAACCAAAGTGGGAGGAATGTACTTCCTCTAACCAGATCTGATCAATCTCATAGCACAGGGACTTAAGCCTGGGTACTCTGCATATGGAGAAGCCTTCTGAAAACCTTTGCTTAGCAAACAGTAAACCACGAGTACCCGTCATCTTTTCTTCTCCCTTTCCCATCTGACCCTTTCACTATTTAAGATGCAGCTACTGATGTCTATATGAGAGAATCAAACACTAACGTGCATCAGAAACTTACTTTTCCACTTAATTTTTGTAATAACATCTACCCTACACTAAAGTTAAATGTGGAGGCAGTGGTTAAATTACAAATGTTCAAGACAGATAAAAAGCAAAACCACCAGGATTCCATAAAACGAACCTTAAAGCACAGTTCTGAACACAGGGCTGGAGCCTCGAGCAGCACCTCTCCTGTCAAACCCTGCTCAGCAGCTCCGGGAGTTGCAGCTTTTACCGGTGCAAAGGAGGACACAGCCCTGCCTGTTCCCTTCCTGCTTCCAAACCCTGCAGCTCTGCTGATGAATCAGCAGTTTCATGATGGGTTAAACTCTAGGGCCTGAGAACAGGTTAGGACACAGAAACAGAAATACAATGATGTCTTTTCAGCATCAAAAGCTGCTCCAGTATTCCTAAATAGAGGTCCATAAAACACCATTAGCATCACAATAGCATTTTAGGAGGTTACAGTACAGGTGTAATCAGCAGTTTAGCACTCCCCTCTGTGCCAGTTTTGATGTATGTTTTGGTAGGGCCAGTGACACGTGGAATCCCCTTGGGCCAGTGTCCCTGCCTGTCCCTGTCTGCCTTGTGCCAAGCTTTCTGTTAAGCTTCCCCCTGATTTCAGAAGCACAACTAATAGAGCAGCGACAGTCACAGGCAGCACCCTGCACGCTGCCCGTACAGTGCCAGGCTCAGTGGGGACACCCCAGGGCTTGGAAAGAAACAAATCCCACCTTGACTCACCCCGGGCTTTCCAAGCATCTGACACACACACTGCACCTCTGGACAGCCCAGTGAAGAGCAGGGGAGCTGGGGCAGAGCAGCAGCACATGAGCTCAGCTGGTCAGCAGGTTCTCATGTGTTCTGAGCAAGACATCCTAGGGGAAGAAAGAAAATAGTCTGTATTGATTGATAGGACTGGGAGGAGAAAGTCCCGGTGCCTGGCTCCCAGGTGGCAAAGGCCATGGTGTTTTGGAGGGCTCACAACTCACCTCAGGGTTTATTTAACTGACAGCAAAACATTCAAAACAGGCTCTGAGTGCAGGGGAGCTTCTGGGTCTTATGACAAGAGATCTACTGCAGGCCGCAGCATTTACTTAGCACTCTGTATGCCCTAGATAAGATACATTCCCTCCTTGACTAGCTCACCGTGTAGGTGCAGTGTTTGTAATCCTATAGCATCCTACGTCTGCAGACAGCCTTTCACTGCAGGACTCCCAGATCCCCCACAGCAATCCCCCCATGGGCTGGGATGGGGGCCCCTCTGTGACACAAAGCCACCCATGTCCTCGTGGGGCAGAGGGACAGCCCCCTCCTCACGGGCTGGGCACATCCCTGTGGCACATGGAAAGCACAATGAGCATGAACTCAAAATCCATCCTCAAATGGCTGCTGTCAACAGCCCCTGGCTGGAAGGGTTGAGGGAAAGGCTGGTTGTGGCTGCAGTGACACTGGTGCCACCCATCCCAGCCATGGGCTGGCACACACATCCCATCACCCATCGCTGCTGTACGTCTTCCCCAGGGTTAGGCATCCCCATCCAGCCCTCTCCAGGCCTTGTGGCCTCACATCACAGCTATCTGGTGCTTCAGAAGATGAAAGGCCCCAGGAATGCTTTCATTCCTGCAGCAGTGTGTACTGTTACGTGCCCTCAGCTTTCAAAGCAGAGCTGGCTCCTGTATAAACCCTCCTGAGGCGCTGCCTGGGGCTGTCCCTCACCTAAGGGAGCAGGTTTGGTGCATGTGGTACCTGTGGACGGGGCTGCTGAGCTCCGAACTCGCACCCTGAAGCACAGAGACCTCGCTCTCAGGTTCAGACTTTGGCTGTGGCCCTGGTTTGGGTTTTTGTTACCGGGCACCTTTGCAGAGTGCACGCCCACCTTCTCCTCCTCCTTTCACCTCCGTCCTCCTCCAGCTTCAGAGGAGTTGGGGTCCCGGTTTGTGCTCATTTCCAGCTCTCACCCAGGGGAAGCATCCCCAGCAGCGCAGTCCCCATCCTCAGGGAGCCAGGAGGAGGCAGCTGGGAAAATGACAGGGAAAAAAGCGAAGGGAAGCAGGAAAAGAGCTGTTTTCACCCTAACTTCTGACACAAATGTCTTTCCTCCCCCCCCTCCCCACCGCAGAAGAAGCTCACCCGGGAGTGCGTTTTCCGGGAGCAGTTTGAAGAGAACTGGTACAACACGTACGCCTCGACCCTCTACAAGCACCCCGACTCGGAGAGGCATTACTACGTGGCTCTGAACAAGGACGGCTCCCCCCGCGAGGGGTACAGGACTAAGAGACACCAGAAATTCACCCATTTTTTACCCAGGCCTGTGGACCCTGCCAAAATCCCTGCCATGTACAGAGACCTCTTCCACTACAGGTGATGTTTCCTGCGCTGCCCCCGTCACTGTACATACTTGGGCTCCCAAGCTTTTTCCCAGAGCACTATATTAATAGTCATTCCATCATTCCTGTAAGCGTAGATGCCGTAGGAAAGCACTTACATTGAATTCAGACACTGCTGTTCCTCCTTGTTTCAAGCGTATATCGAACCTGGGTTATTTATGGGGGAGGGGGTAGGGAAGGGAGGGAACCCTACGTATAATCTTTCCTTTTCATTCACTTCCTTCACCCGGTCACTACAAGAGAGGCCGAGTATTCAATGTTCTGGTTGCTTAAAGGAACAAGCAGGTGAACAAACCTGATCCCCAGGGAGGGGGAAAGAAACCAAAATCAGCTAAAACTGAGGAGAAGGGAAGAAAACGACCACAGAACTGCTGCAGCTGCTGCTGCTGAGCTGGGGATGGTGACCTGGAAGAAAACAGCCCTTTGAGCGGTGCCCTGCTTAAGCAGCCCAGGAGTTTGCTACAAGGATGATGCTACGTGGACTGGTCCTGACGCGTGGGGGTTTTTTCCTGCTGTTGGGGTGGGAATGGGGCAAGGAACATTATTCGGATGTAAGCATGGATACTGTGCATAGGGACAAAACTATTTATAAAATGTATATGATATTTATTTTATATATTTATTTATTTCAAAATAATTTTATTTTTAATGAGAGATGCTATGACCGGATTTTCATCAGGAAGAATAAGGTCCTACTGAAACAGGAAAAAAAATGAGTTTTAAGAGCTTATTGGCAATAAAATTGTCTTTATATTGTAGATTTTCTTGCTAGCCCTTTATTTTTTGGTGCTCTGGTACAATTAACCCAGTATTTCCCCATCAGTATTAAGACCACCTCTAAAAAGGCTTTATGTGGGAAAGAGAAGTCACCTGAGCTCCAAACTCTTGTATGAGGATGGCATCAAATTATACTTGGAATGTACCTGGAAGCGTGACCCTACTGAAATGACAGGCTGATGAACTGTGATTTCCAAGAACTGCAAATCCAGCCCTTTACTCTGATATGGGCACAATAGGTCTTGGGCCACGTCAAGCACCGGGCACAGCTCAGCTTTTGTGGCTTTTGAATGGGACTCACCTGGACCACAAGTCACCGTTGCTGTGGAGGGAGGAACCTTGGGCTGTCCCTCACCTCTGCGGCCCCACGAGCCTGGGAAGTGATGGTGCAGCTCCTGGTGTGAGTCATGGAATGGTTTGTGTTGGAAGGGACCTTAAAGCTCCAGTTCCAACCCCCTGCCACAGGCAGGGACACCTTCCACTGGAGCAGCTTGCTCCAAGCCCCTGTGTCCAACCTGGCCTTGAACACTGCCAGGGATGGGGCAGCCACAGCTTCTCTGGGCACCCTGTGCCAGCGCCTCAGCACCCTCACAGGGAAGACATTTGCCTCGATGGCATCTGAGGAGCTTCAGCACATGAATTGCTGTGGATTAACTGCCCCATCAAAACTGAAGTGGAGAAACAGCTGGAGCATCTGCTGAGCATCTGGATGGACCCATCATTCCTGCAGTAAAACCACCACATCTCACCCAAGACTCACCTGAAGCATCCTGGACAATCAGTGGTGAAACTATAGAAAACAAGAAAAGCAATTTCTAAACCCTCTCATTTTTAAGGAATTACTATGGATGAAGACCATCCCTGCAGGCACCGCTTGGACTTGCACATCTGCATGGCATTTTCCTCGACAGAAGCTGTCTGGTCCCACAATCCCACCACATTTCCTCTGTTCCAGGGCAGCTCCTGCCTTCTGTTAGGCTCAACCAAACTTGCCTCCAGTAGCCCCCAGCCAGCCCCACATTTGCAACCTCCTCTTGTCAGGCTGGCCTGGCTGGGGATGCTCATGGTGAAGTCTTTGCTCTGCAGCTCACCCCATGGTGACACTCGTGCCACACATCTGCCCTCGCTGCCTACTCGAGATGTCACAGAGCTGCCAGGGAGGCTTCAGGAATGATCCCAGTTTACTTTTCTGTCCCCTGTGACCAGCAGAGAGGGTTTGTAGCAGTGGTGGGAGCAGGAGTGTGTAGTTGCTGGAAGCACTCTACACCACACAGGAGACGTTGGCATGAAAGGCGGTTCTCCAGAGCATGCAAAAATAGGTACAAACACAGCTGTAGTGGCCTTGAGTTGGGGTTTTCCTTATCACAACTGCACCTTTCACAGTGCTGTTCCTAACAAAGCAATCGAGGTGAAATCTGGGCTCCTTCAGCTTCAAGCCTATGAATTCCAGGACGATTTCACTGACTTAGGGATCATCCACAGCAGCTTCTTCCTGAGCTGTGCTGCTAACAGAGCAGCAGCCCAGGAGTCCAGCTCTGCTTCTGGCTATTCACTGCCTCTTATGCCACCTCCTGCATCCCTGCCACGTCCCTTTGCTGTCCCAGCAGCTGGGTGCAGCCACCAGGCTGTGACTGCAATGAGGTGATCTCAGGAGCTTTACCTGGAATGATCCAGCCACAAAGGAATTTAATCCTGTGTTTGAAAGGAACCGTGTTTATTTACCTTCTTCCTCTGAGTCACTGCTGAAACATCTCCTCGTGAGCACGCCTGCTCCTAGAAAGTGTCCTGAGGAGGACTTGTGCTGACCTTCCCCTGCGCAAAGGGAAATCCCTCAGACCTCCAGCTTTGCTCTGCCTCCCTGGGATGATCCTGCCTTCGCTTTCCACTGCGCCTGAAGATAAATCCAGTGGTTAAGATCCTGCTGCTCTTCTTCAGAACAAAACCTGATCTCAGCAATGCCAAGTTCTTCACCCACTGCAAAGGGAGCTGATTTGGTCCATGGGGACAATGTGGTGGACTTGTATGTTTGATACCCAGATCGAAGAGCTGCCTCCTGCCATGAAAGGACACACAGGAGCAAGGGATGGCATTAAACACCTTTTCAGGACCTGGGTTCAGAAAAGAACGACCCTTGCAAACAATAAAATCCACACAGAATTTGCTGGAAACCCCTTGGTGAAGGTTGGTGTCACCTCCCATGGGGGACATTGTGCAAAGGTGGAGTTCTGCACTGCAAAATCCCACCCAAAGGTTTGCTTCCAGCAGGAATTTACTGGGTTTGGTTCTGGTTCAACACAATATCGTAGGCAGGAGTAACCTGGCTGAGCTGGGAGGGGAGCGGCAGCAGCAGAATTAACAACTGCAGACTCTGGCTGCGTTCCGAGCAGCACAGGGTGCAGGCGGCAATGGGACACGCTTGCTTCTTGGCCTGTCCTGCATGGAGGAGGCTGCCACCTTGTCCAGCCGTTATCCCACCAGTGCCTGGAGATGCCGACTGCTCCTTCGGCTTGGAGGCTTCCACAGGGCTGGCAAATGGCCCCTGCAGCCGGGCTGAGGTGGGTCTGCTCCAGTGACGGGCCCTGCTCCTGCGGGGAGAGTTTCAGAGGAAAACACGTTTGTGATGCTTCAACCCAAGAGACTTCCTCGTAAATTAGCAACAGGAAACGTTGATGTGTTTGGAATCTCAGCTCAGTTTCTGCGTCTTTCAAAGTCACAACGGAGCTGAAAAACTCCTCCCAAAGGGAAGGCAAGGGTGGCTAGTGCAGGCAGTGGCCGTGGTCCCACTGCACCTTTCACCCCCAATGCTGTTTTACACCCCAAAAGATGTGGGTCTGAAAACCACAGTAAATAGGACAAAAGACTTTCAACCCTGCCCCTTCCACCCAGAGGGGTGGGCATGTTGGAATGGAAACCTTATACCGGGAACAGCTGTGCAAAGCAGGAGGGTGGATGTCAGCAGCAAAGAGACGGGCAATGTCTTGAGTGTCTCTACAGCGGGGTGCAGAAACAGAAGGGAACCCTCTGTATGAGGCCAACACAGCATCAGGCACAACACAGCCCCAGCAAATGCATCCCTCTCCCCAGCTTTGCTGTGTGATCCAAGGTCTGGGAGGGGACTGAGGAGACAGACCTACAAGGGGCAATGCACATGTGGCCTCAGGGATGTCCCTATGGGGACACTGCAGAGCTATCCTGGGTGGGACATGTGGCTCAAGGCTCGTTCCTACACGGAGGGGGAAGGAACAGAGGCACCAGGGAGTCACCTTCTCTGGAGTACGTGATGGAGAAAGCAGCTGAGCACAGATGTGAGAGGTGAGCACTTCCCTTGTGCTCACATTCCTGTCCTTCTCCAGGGCAGCATCACCCTCCTCTGGTCACCTCCAGGCCCTTGTCACCAGGCACAACAGTTACAGGAGCTGTGCCTGGATGAAAACCACCCGCCTGCACCTCAGGGCAGCACAGCTCTCCCACAGACTCACCTGGGTGGTGTCCTACTGCTGCTCTGTGCTGGGACACATCTCCAGGGTGGACTCCCCAGCGCAGAGGGCGCACATGGGGCTATGTCCCCACCTCAGCAGGAATGGGAAGTTCAAGACCCTGAGCGCTTCATGGCAACACTGGCAAACATCTCGAGCTGGGCGCATTCAGGACATCTGTCTCTGCATACATGGCGACAATTTATCGAACTCCAACCGTCTTTTTGCTTGACCTGATGAATTTAACTTCTATTTACTCTGCTCAGGGTGGTTTTGCTTTTGAGGTAAAGACAAAAGACCCCACACGGTAAGCTCAGCGCTGGAGCCCCTTGCAGCCCTGCTTTGTATGAGGTTGTAACCAAATTAAAGCTACAGGGACATTTAAAACCACGTTGCCCAGGCTGCCCCTTACAGCACAATATGAGTGTTTTCATACCAGACATGATTGCCACGGCATCTGTCCTTTCTCAGCTCCCAGCACATCCAGCTGTACCTCCCCAGCAGATGCATCCGGGGCAGCGATGGGGCTGCAGCCCTGGCCAGGAGCTACCAGAGAACTTCAGGTACAGGGAACAAGTATAGGGGCATATTCAAAACACAACTCTCACACTGGTTTTTGCATAGGGAGGGTTATTTCTTACCCAGTGGGTGGGATTTAATAACTAAGAAAGGGAGAAGTACAATTATAAGGATAAAATACGTAATTAGGTTCTTCTAATTGGACCAAGCAGAACATCAGCTCACACACAATGCTGCATCATGGCTGGGTGATAACTCACTCTGTTTTTAGCAGACAGACTGGCTGCAGAAGCTGTTACTAATTAATGTAATTAGAAAACTGGGACCACAACCACTTCCCCTCAATGACATTAATGGCTACATCCAGTAACGGGTACCTCTCACTGCAGCAAAACTCAGAGCTTCAACTCGCGGAGCGGTTCTCAAAAGCCACGTTCGCTCTCGGCCCGTTTCCCTGCGGCGTTAACCCTGCATTGTGAATGTAGCACAAGGCACGTTGATGTATTTTGGTCACTTTATTAAATGAGATATTAAATAGTTTCAGTTTCAACTACTAAACAGCACTTTGAATGGTGAAAACACAGATAGTATATCGTCATACTTGAATGCTTCTTCTCTTTAAAAACACATTTCCAGTCCTTATATATATTACAAAACAGCCTTAGAGGAAGAGGGGACACCTTTTCTATAGTACTTAAGATATTTAATACAGAACTGAAAAGCCATCTAATAGAAACAAAGGCAAGTCTTCACAGCTGTATGATTTCAGCAGCCAAAGCTGGTTGATGGACTGAAACATTACTATACAACTGGGACAAAACATATACAATATCACAATACTAAGCAAAAACGCTTTACATCCAAAGGAATAAACAGGTTACAAAATGTGGAGAATTTAGCAGGCAAAACTGTATTACAAGCAACATTTTTATTCGTCATCTTAAGCCATTTCATCTAGTTAAAACATCAAAAACAAATACAAAAAT